TCGCTCGCTCAGAGAGAGCAAAAACGGCGGGAGCTTCTTGAAAGAGCTCAGCGCCGCGTTCGACAATCCAACACTAAGCGTCAGATGTATGCAGGAACGTCATGGGCAAGTGATATCACGAATGGGGTTACTACAGTCCCAAAGAAATCAACAGAATCAACTCAGACCGACTCATCCGAGTCTGCTGAGTCATTAAAAAAACACTGATTGATGGATACTCCCAAACAAACCCTGAGGTCTCAACACCCCGCTTCGCCTCACGTCTGAGCGACAGCTCAACTCCAAATGTTCGCCCTGTGATGATCGATGTTGGAGTTGATAGCGGCGTGCAGATGGTAGATAGCTCAATTAATACTGATCGTGTCAATCAAACTGATAGAAATATTCAAGCGAGACCTCAAACATCTGATGTTGGTATCGATAACACACAGCAAACAGCTGATGTTGGAATCGACAATGCTCCAAAAATGTTAGATGCTGAAACAAACATGAAAAGCATGAAAAACATGGATACCGAAGATCAAGTGGAGGCGCGATCAAGGATTAAGAAATTGTTTACCGCCAATCCTAATTGGGTAGCGCTTCGAACTAAGCCAATTAAGCGTAAAACCGATAAGGATGACAATAGATACTTTCTTGGTGAAAAGGGGTCATTAATTGCAGCCAAAACGGGTAGAAAGAGTAAGACTTATTAATCGATTGACTGGGTGGCTACAGAGGAGAAAATTAGGGACATCTGGTATGATGGCGAAAGTAAATCAATCGATGAGAGCAGTTATATGAGACTTGAAGACCCTCTTTATCACGTTTCACTGACGAGAAAACGAAAAATCGCCGATTTAAGTGAAGGTGATGATGCATTCCGTTCAAGACAACGTCTTGAAGACAGCTTCGAGTTTGACACATCGACGTCAACCTCATTAGATCAAGTTGATAGTAGGAATCGATTGCTTTGGTCTATTTTTAAGAATAAAGCAGTGCTTGAGTCGGCTGGTTTGAAAAAGAAAATCATTCCTATCCTCAAGAGCATGAGTAAAACATCTCAGGTGGATAGAACTGGATGCGTGTGGATTGATGGTTCATCAATTAGTGTATTTGGTATTGATAGTGAAAGAGTCAAGCCAGCGATTACTAAGAACGTCGATTGGAGATCTACATTCCAAAAATTTATTGATTTAGTCAAAGATCGTGGCGATATCGATCTATTTACTAATGAAGACACCACCAAACTTGCAAAAGCCTTTGAGCCACGCGATGGTGAGGCTCGGCATAGAATTAAGCTTGGAATTGATGAAGATATGAATAGTTCTCTAGCTAATGCTGATAACGATGCGAAGAAGATTCTCATGGTTACAGCAAAATAGCATCTGAAGGAGTTCGAATTCCCTTTAGACTGAAACCAATAGTAGATACCAAAAGTGGTGTGAAAGCTAATCAAAATTACTACTTTAGTGAGCCTACCGCAGCAAAACCATTTTACATTAGAAACCACGAAAACAAAGCGGTTTCTGGCAAGGTTTTCAGCGATCTTATGAAAACCATTAGATGGATGGATACTTTCAATAGCCTGATGACCGGGTTTGAAGACATAGAGCGATGCGTCTATGAGAATGATGATCCAGCATTGAAAAAAATCTCGAAGCTTATCTTCAGCTATTGAATCGAGCGATCCTCGACAATACAAAATCGACAGATACATCAGCTCGAATCAAATCCTCAGAGGGTACTCAATATCGCGATGACACTTTGCAAAAACTCCACGATGAGTCAGAAGCCGCATTCCAAAAGTCTGGCGAAGCTCAGAGGAAATACGATGAGGCGAAGCGAACAGTAAAGGGTAAGAACTCAAAATCCGCAAGATCAGCGTTGAAGGCGGCAACCGCTGCCATGAAAGCGACCAAGGCTGTCTATCAAATCAAGGCTAAAAGCTACTCCGATGCTAAAAACTACACCGAGGTTGATCAATTCAGTGATCGACAAGACGAGCGCACGGTTCGCCAAACTGTGAATAACATGGTTGATCGAGTGGGGTCAGCGGTTAAGAGGAATCTTCAGGGTCGTGGGTTAAGAGGAGCCGGTGTTGCTCCACTCGAAGGTGTCGTACGACGCGGTCGTACATACAACCTCAATGAGATTCAAGGCTTAGCTACACCTTCAGCTTATGTATAACGTCAGCTCGGAAGCAAGTATATCCGAATTCCTGACCTTGATAACAAAACCCTTGTCATTATTCAGCCTATCGCCGCAAATGCGGACCCAAATGTCAAATCAGTGATAGTCTACAATCAATGATCCGAACTCTTGTGTATAAAAATCATATCGATCAAGCTTCATATGACAAGCTCAGTATCGATGATAGAAAACTGTTCAAAGAGATCCTTGCGATTACACATCTTCAGTATAACTTCCATGACCACCTCGAGGATCCGTTAGACTCTCTAAGAGCTGAATATGACAAGCTGAAAGGAGAGCTTGAATTAGGCAATGATAATCCTTCAATTATCAAACAGCTTAAGAGTCTCTCAGTGGATATGTACAGCAGCCGTCTAATTTCGGATTCTGAGTTTAAGGAAATTATCACGCGACTACAATAACCATGTTCTCTTTCAATCCCCGAATTATTTGCAGCTCAGGCGGTAGATATGGCGACAACGCTGATTTCAACGTCGCAGAGCTAAAAGCCATCATGAAAAATTTAATCATCCATGACCGCCCTTAAAAGACCCAGGCAGCTGTTTGAACAACGGATCTTGACAAGACGCTCAAGAAAACGGATGCGTCAACCCAGACGGAAGGAGGAAAAGTATGGGCATACTCAACTAAAAAAAATCGAAGTCTGTAAAGACGTTTGCTATCTAAGCAATACCAGATCTAACAGCTTTATTCGCCATTCCGCGATATATACTAATTTTTTTCTCTCCAACATGTATTTCCATGACAGCATCTTCCCCCGTCTTCGCATCTCTGATAGGAACGAGTGCACTATCTCCGAGAGCTACGATCTGATCAGCGCGCATGAATGTGGAAGCAATTGCCTGAGTAGGTTCATCAGCAGTTAAATTCGATTTAAGATCTTTGCTTGGTACGCAACCCATTTCTTGTATATTATTACCAAAGAAACTTCTTAGCATAGAAATCCGCTGATGGTTCTGGGTAATCAACTTTGTGTCTAAGGTAGTATCAATGACGTCTCTCCTCATCATTATGATCAAGATGACTAAAAGCCTTCAGAGGCGTTTGATCCCGATATTGGGCGTATCCACGAGTCCCGAAATTAACCTTGCGCAACTTTCCCGTATTAAGACGTACCCATACTCGATACTTCTTGTTCTTCAAAGGGCTTAACTCCAAGCGCTCAATCCTCATGACTCTATATTAGCCAAACGATCTTTTAATCTATCTATCTCACCCAAAAGAAGCTGAATCATCTTCATATTATAAGCCGATATTCGACTGTAATCAACGTTGAGCTGTTGCTTAGCTGGTTCAAGGCTTGGGTCTTCTCCCCTGTGGTGAAGTGCTTTTTCAGAAATAAGAGAATGGTCCTGACGCGGGGTCACTATCCCGAATCAGTGACAATTTCAAGTGATTATAGAGGATTTGGGTTGTTTGGCACGGGTGCAAGTTGCCTGTGGTGGATTAGCCATGGCGAGCAGCACCCCGTATGGAATGACGATGGATCTGATATGAGCGACGTACGAGAAGGCAAGATCCACCAAGACTTACCTCGGATCCACCCTTACCTGGATTCACTAAGATGGATATGGGATATACTATACAAGAGTGGATCGAGTGTGGATCCTATGAAGGAAGGATGGTCGGTGCCCTCTGAAGGTGGATCTAGTAGCCACGGCTAATGAAGAGTCAAGATCCACCGCGAGGTACCCCGGATCCCATACTTCCGAGTTCGGATCCAAGGAGGGAGGATCCCGCCTGGAGGGACCTGGATCCAGGGTATAGGGATGATGGATACAGTGGATCTCGAACTTTCGTGGGACAATGGAGATCACAGACGGTTGCGAGATGATGTTGGATGATTGGAGAGCTCGGATCCACGGCGAGTGTACCATTACAGCGAGGTGGATCCAAGCGACTTGGATCCGGATGAGTGTACCCATAATAGGGTGACCATGATGATTACGTCATATATCCGGTGGATCTGAAGATAACACAGCTGGGATGATGGGTCAAGGGAAGAAGGGACATGCAGCCGAGCCTGGTAAGGGATTTAGCAGATGAAAGACATAGAAGGTAGAAACCCAGGCAGGTATAGGCTTAAATATCAATACAGACTCCAATTTGCACAGTGACACGCAAGTGCCTTCCTGCCCTCAAGAACCGGAACTACATTGGCCGTACGAGCTCCGAGAAGGTTGGGAATTGCGAATCTAGTGTTGGTAGTGATAACTGGATAATACATTGGCCAGATCCTACAACCTAGTGAGCTTTTCCTTTACTTGTGCAGATCCGACAGGTTAACCGAATTTACTACTTGGTCGGTTACACCCTAGGGGTTCTCAACTCTCAAGATCCCGTCACAGGAGGCGGCAAGTACGACTTAAAGGACAACACAAAGGCAAGGGAACACACCCGCAAGGCAACCCTACGGCCAGATCCACGATCTAGGCCCCGGATCCATAAGCTCGAATATTCGCTTAGGATACGGAACCATCCACGGACGCAGAGTGAAGATTTTCCACTGCTGCTCCACCCCATCCCCACGTCTCGCCAAGACACTCAAGCTTCACCACTTGAACTCTTCGGAAGTTACCGAGAGAGCAGATCCCGCCCTACCGACGGGTACACAAGGTGAGGAAAGTTCAGCAGAACACGGATCATCGGGGGACCCCCTCCGTTAGTCGGTGTCTGGGCGCAGTTGGTAAGTTGGATCTGGCAATCTCGTAGATTTTGCTGATCCCGCTACACCACACCCCCTTCAATATCATCTCTGTTAAAGATCCATATCAAATCAGTTAGATGGGCTGTGACCAAATCCTGAGCTATGAGACCGATTTCTTGTCCAGGCTTGTTTTCCGACTCGATCCAGTCATAGAGCTTAACCTCACAGCTATCGTAGAGCCGCTTCACACGATCAATTGGGCATGATTGAATATTCTTTTTAAGGCGTCGATCCGACGTCATCGCCATGGCTGTACAGGCAATGTATCCTCCGAATATACCCGCTACTGAATATGTGTTCGGGCCAAGAGCGGATTCTGTAGCTCCACTATCTGCTCTGAGGCGATACACTGTCGTTCCGCCTGCTCCAAATACAAAACTGTTGCTGCCAGGGACGTGCAGCGGAGCCGAAGGACTTGTAGTACCAAGACCAAGACGACCTGTGGTAGTTAGAATCATCGACGTCGAGTTATTGACCCCAAATTTGAGGTCGTTTTTTGTGATGTTCCCGATCCATGACGCGTTCGCTGTGGTTGATCGATTGCCATTATGGACTTGGATCTGGAATTGAACAGGAGTCGTATTCGACCCGGTTAGAGTCATCATTCGTGTGTAAGAACCATCAAGAAAGTCCAATCCACTACCAGTAATCGAGAATATTCATTCGTTGCTGTAGAGTTGATCCCAAGCTCTGTCAGCGATCCTACTGTTGTTATAGCTGATTGGTTTCCATACGCTAAAAACCCATTGATAACGCCGAAGCAGCTGATATCCCCACTCGTTGACAGATTATTGAGCGAGAGGGAAGTCGGAATAGATGTTAAAAAGCTTGATAGGTCATAATACGTCGAGTCCTGGCGCAAGTTCGTGCAGGTCAGAGTAGTAGCCGCTACCGAACTTAGGCCTCCGATATTCGAGCTTGAGTCGCATAATAGGAGTTTATTTGGCGTTGCGGTACCAAAACTAACTCCGTTTATGTATTCAAAAAGGCCCAAATCGTATATAGTACCGTTCTGGCGATATTCTCGACAATCGATGTAGCTTGAAGTGCCTGTTATCGATATCGAGTGCGATGACCCACTGAACAATAAATTTCCACCGATCGTAAGACCTGATTAAGAGCCGAGAGACGTTATATTTGGTTAGGATCCGGTATGTAGCGTTCCAGTAATAGTAAAAGCTCCAAAGCTATTAATTCCGCTGATATTGCCGGACGAATCGAGAATCAAAGTTTTGCTGTACGAAGCAGTTCCCGCTATTACTCCGCTAAGGTAGCCCATCCTGTAATCATCCTTGCTCAAATATAGTGTCTGCGCATAATCGTATGTTAGATAACCACTCGAGTCTAACGAAAGATAGAATGAAGGATTATAAATGGATGATTGAAATGTAGGCTGTGGATGTGAAAAACCGGAACTCATTTTGTTTAATCCTATATAGATCAAACGATTTAAGTCATGAATGCTATTCCTGACTTTGGGGCTTCGATTCCAAATTTTTTTAAGTCTGCTTCGATGGGTGATATCCCCGCATTGGATATGAAAGCTTTGTTTAGAATGGTTGTGCTCGGTCCAAGCTTTTCAGGAAAGAACAATCTTTGTATGTTTATTCTCAAGCATTCTCCTCACGTATTTGCTCATCTAACTATCATTGCTCATAATCCTCATCAGGAGCTTTATGAGTATCTCCGGGAAAAGTTGGAAGGATTCATCACATTTGCTGACCCAGATAGCCCTTCTAAAGTAGATCAGGTGCGTCATACTCCATTAAGCTCTAACAAACCGGAGCTTGTTATCATCGATGACTATAGCAATGATAAACTACTTCAGAAGAATATCTTCTCTCATTACTATACACGTGGGGGACACTTTAACCCAATGAACGCCGTAATCTGTATAATACGTAATATGACATGATGCAGGTTTAAATGAATCAACAGCTTGGACGCGGCGTCGTTTAGGCTACTACACCGCATATATAAGTTTGTATAGACCACCATGGGAGTTTTTATCATTACCGATCGGCGAGGGGGAGATAGAAAGGTATTATTCGAAACACATAGAAAATTCGATATAAACGGCCTAGAGGTTTGAAAATTCTAATGCAAGCCCTTTAGCTCCTCTCTCCCCAAAACCTCCACCACTCAACCAAAAATGCCGGAAACGATTGACAGGAAGGAGTTCAAGCGTCTGTGGGGGTCGCTAAAAAAGGCTGGTTGGCGGGCAAGACCCCCTTCAGGCCTCCTCTCCGATCATGCGTATCTCAAGCCTGGCGTGAAAGGAAAGCTAGACAACTACAAGGCTGACACTGATTACTTTATCGGTACGTTGTGTTTAGCAGTAATAACTACTCCCTCTAACCCTGTGTGGTGTAGGTCCCAAGCCTTTGTGGAAGTATGCTCTGCGTGAGGGTCTAGTACCTTTCCCCCCTCAACAATGTATGATACGTCCGATGAGGCCTCCAATGGGGAAGCTTGCAGCGTACACAGCAGCCAAACGACAAGAACCAATTCCCCCCACCACAAGTGACGGCAACTTGGACCGTCAGTATTCTCCATCCCGCTCAGAGCATCAACATACTGTCGACGTTACTACGGAGGATACAGAACAAGTCCGACCGATTGGTGATGATATTGCAGAGGATACAGAACAAGATCGGTCCTCCGTTTGTGTTACTACTGAGGATACAGAACAAGTTCAGCCGGTTCGTGTGGCTATTGCCAAGGATACAGAACAAGCGAGGTCGATTGTAGATGATACAGAAGAAGGCCACTTTGTCGAAAATACTGGTATCGCTGGTACAGATCAAGAGCTATCAGTTGTTGAATGTATTCCGGAGGATACAGAACAAGCTGGACCAGCGGGTGTTCATATTCTGTCGGATACCGAATTTGACGACACGGCATCCGTGGGTCACGGCAAAGAAGAATCGAAACGTGGCAGTGGTGTTGCGAATGGCTTGGATGAATTTGATTGTGATAGCTATATGGATGCGTTACGTGGAGAGCTGCTCTTTGATAAGATTGATCCTGCAGATATCAACGTTGGATATGGATCCGCAAGTGATGTTAGTAGCGAGTTGGGTACTGAGGAAGAACTGGACGTTCCTGCGGAGCCTGAATCAGTGTATGAAAGCGAGGTAGATTCTGACAGCGACTTTGATGACGACTCCAGCGCGTTCCTGCAAGACGACACCAATATGCGTCAACTCACAGCCACAGGTTGGGATATATACGATGAGCATCATTCCGGTAAGTGCAGCACATACAGAATTGCGAATCATATCAAAATCTAATTCTGTATTTTACTGAATACAGGTGATGTGGTGTTAGATGCAGCGGAGCTGTACGACGGAAGTTTTGGTCCCACCAGATCTGCCGCTGCGTTCGCCGAGTCTCCTTTGGGAATTTTCTTCTATTTTCTTCCCAAGAAGATGTGGTTTGCGTTTGCAAAGGAGTCTAACGTATCGAGAGGAGTGTATTCCTGCTGTGGCGAAGGCGCAACGAGACAAGCAGCTACAGGCGCAGCGCAGGGATCCTGTGAAGTCGGTTCAACCTCTTGAAGTCTTAGAAGAGCAGCTGCGCAATATGAAACCAATTCAAGCACATGAAATTCTCCACGTGATTGGCCTTCTGATTGCTCGTACACTCTGTGGTCATACGGATGGCTTGGAAAAGCACTGGGCGACGCGGGAGGACGGTGCAGTACCACGCGGTACCTTCTCCAGATACATGAAACGTGAAAGATTCCGGTTAGTTACCAGGTACTTGCACTTCACCAAAAACGACCCTGCTGCCGCAGGCACAGACAAGGCTTGGAAAGTTCGGCCCATTCTTCAGGTTCTTGAAAAAACGTTTCATCGTGGCTATCGGCTGGGGCCTCGCATCAGTTTTGATGAAGAAACCATTCCTAACAGAAGCAAGTTCAACCCTGTGCGCGTCTATAATAAGGAGAAGCCTCACAAGTACGGGACTAAAGTGTACATGACGTGCTGCGCGGAGACCGGATACTGTACTCGGTAGGTGGCTTACTGTATTCTGTGTCTGGTTACTCTGTATCGTACAGAATAAGAAACCGAGTGCTTACCGTATGCTGTATTGTGTAACATATAGGATGGAAGTGTATCTCGGCGCTGTAGAGTACTCGAAAGGTGTGGCACAGAAGGCAGTCATCAGGAACGTGACTAAGGCGCTTGATGGCCAGGCCCATAAAAGGCTTATCATCGCCGACAATTTCTACACGTCGTGTGCTCTATTGCTGGAGTTATTGGACAAGGATCTCTACTACGTCGGTACTCACCGCAACGAGCGGCTTGGGTGGCCCAAGCCGTTCAAAAAGTACTATCGGCAACTCTTCATGAGTTTTGTGGACATGGCGATAGTCAACGGTTTTATTTTACATAAAATTATTCTCAAGCAAAAAGGGCTGCCAGTGCCAACACACGCGCAGTATATGCGCCGACTTCATACCGAGCTTTTGGCCACGAACGAAGCCACACTGCGTACAAACACCAACACCGAGGACCTCGTTTCTGAGCCTATTCACACGCAACCGCACAGACTGCGAAACAATGAGGAAAAATACAAAGGCAAGAAGCGAAAAAAACCCAGAGATGGATCAACCGCCAGCAACCTCCAGCGTAAAGGGCAGAAGCGTAAGGGCAAGCGCCGCCAGCACTTGTGCAAAGTTTGCTCAGCCTTGGCAACTCCCCAGACAAAGAGCTTTGAAACCAGTTACTACTGCGAGCAGTGCACATCCAACTTCGGAGGCTACGTACCTCTATGTAACAAGGTTCGCCACGAGGAAACCGGCAACACGCTCACATGCGGCCAAATATGGCATGATTTGTGGCGCAACGGCCCTGCCATCCCTGCTCACCTCAAGAAGCGTATTCGCTTCCGCAAGCGAAAGAACTTCGAGATTTTGAGCGACAGCGACGACGGCGGCAGCGACGCGAATGATGATTGCGTGGATATCCAGGATAGCGAGTAACTAGGCGTAGATAATGCAGCCCGTACACTCACCAATTTGTCGGCCAGTTCTTGCCTAGTTCTTCTTCTACTCTTGCTAGTCTAGAACTGGCCGAAAATTTGGTGAGCGTACGGGTGACGTAGTGGCACGCTTCGCCAGTCATTTAGGCGCAAACGCAGATTGCCCAGACCCATCAGATTCAGCGGGATACTCGAAGTAGAAGGATATGCGACGAAAGTCACGTCACATTTGCCCAATGAAATCATGACATTTTACCAGCCGGTGGGCACATTGTTGTTTTTCTACGACAGATTGCAGTCTATTCGCAGCGTTTTCGCTACATCCCATTGCGGACGGCTTGCAATGCATTAAGTTTGCAAAAGTGGCAGCTATAGTTTAACAAAGATAATCATTTACTCTGTATTATACAGAATATCGTGAAGCGGGCATTGGGTTAAACTCTCAACCATATTCCTAAGCCACAGCTACTTTGCCACTGATAAGATGATTCGGTTGAATTCAGAGTACGTAGCGATTCTAATAGCGAATTCGAAGCGCGATTTACAAGTGGTTGTAAAGGATTTTAACATTAAAGGCGTTGATGAGCGATCAATCGTCTATTACTACAATAAAGCCACGGAGCGCAAAGGACATATGCTGTTCGTGGATTCAGTCAAAGGTCAAATCAGATACAACTTTGATCGACCGATAGATATTGAGCAATAACTTTAGAATATTTTGTTTGGGTGAATCAATATACATATACCATGGCAAGTTTTGTTAAACTCGATTCCACTGACCTCGTTCAAGACAATTATAACAGCACATGGAAATACAGCTTTCCTGGTAGTGCTGCCGATTTCAAGGATGTGGTATGCGCGGTTTAATCGATTTCGATGTATAACTCTGAATACAACATCGATGCAACTCAGTTCCTGAATAACTCCTTCAAAATCGAGGTTCCGACAGTTGGAGCCACATCCACTGTATCTGTTATCCTCCCTGATGGACACTACAGCTATACCGATATTAATCGAAGCATTCAGACGGCTCTCGTAAATGCTGGAGCGTATTTAATTAATCCATCTGGTGAGAACGTTTTCTATATTCAACTAACGGAAAACAGTGTGTATTATGCTGCTCAATTCGATTTTAGCGCTACTCCAACGACACTTCCTACAGCCGGTGGCACTTGGACACGACCAGCAAGTGGGCTTTATTCGTCAGGCGGTACTGGTTTGCCAACAACAACGCGTGTCACTCGCATCATCATTGATAACGCCTCTTTTGGTAAAGTAGTAGGATTGACTGCTGGTACGTATCCTTCAGCGTCTGCAACGGTTTCAAGTGCTCAGCTGTCAAATACCATTCCTCAGATTCACCCAACCTCGAGCTACATCGTTCGATGCGACCTGATCAAAAACGAGTATGTTGCCTCTGGTGATATCCTTAGTGCGTTTGACCGTGGTGATGCTCAGGTAGGTCAATTAATCAGCTATAAGCCGAGTCAGTATGCTTGGATGAACTGTCATAACGGCGCGAGAACGTCTATTACGATCAGTATTTATAATCAAAACGATCAAAAGGTTAAGTTCCGTGATACTTCTGTCTCGATCATGTTGTTGTTGAGGCCAAAAAAATAAGCATTCAATGATTTTTTTTCTCCCAATCCGCAGAATAGGGTGGAACTAATTTAATCGAAAAGAGCCAGCAATCATTGCTTTCTTACGTTTAGCACGGAGTGCAGCCATCTGAGCCTTCATTTCGGGCGAACCTTTAGCTGGTTTCTTAGGGACTCCTACACCATAGCGTCTCTTTACCTCACCTCGAACCGATTTGATCAGGTTCTCATGCTCTGGCTTGGTTGCTTTTGATAGTAGAAACTTCTCGCCTGCATCGACTGCATCAGTTAGAATCCCCTTACGTTTAGCATACCCGAGAGCATTTTTTGCCGCCTTCTTAACATCCGCTACCGAAATACGACCACCTTCTTTCTCTACATCGAGCAAGGCTCGGACGTAGGCAGAGTTTTGAGACTCTACCAGGGGTATCGCTGTCAGAGTCATATACTCCAACTCCTTTCAATGACTTAATAGCCGCCCTTGCGGGGGATTCCTGCTTGAGGGGCTCCAAACGCTGTAGCAATAGCAGGCACTGCCGCATCCAGACCCTTGCTCAGCAAATCACTATCTTTTACGAATTTGAATGCTGTCGATAACCCTGATTTGACTCCAAATGGATCCTCCTTATGGCTTCTTGTAGCCTTTCTTGATCTCATGCTTGGTAATGTCAAGTCTAACCCCACGACCCGCCTTGCGTGCCTTTAGTGCTTTCTCATACGAAGCTGGGTGGAGATGGATAACAGAGCCTGAACCCTTGAGTTGATCAGCTGTAAGACTTAGCTTACCTGTCTTGAGGGCTTTAGTCAGCTTGGGAGCTGGAACATCGCTGGAAATCGTCAATTCGCGATACATTATTGCTATATTTCCTGAAACATATTTAATACAGAATTGACAAATTCAGATCTTTGAATCGATTCAATAGATTCATCTTATTTTTTTGTTTGCAATATAGCCATAGCATGCAAAACGGACCACAATAATCGCCATAAGTGCCTTGATATTGTTTGGGATTGTATCGCCCGATGCCCTACTTCGTAGGTGCCGCTTCCCCCATTGAATCAAAGAATTCTCCATCATGAACAGCCTGCCAGTGTCCTACATCGAGATTAGGCGATCTAAGTAGAACCAGATATGATCCTTTCTTCGGAAGCGGCTTTGTGATCTCATTTGACTCAAAGATAGCATCGAGATGAACCCCAATACGCTTGGCAAGTTCAATTAGATCATGATCGGATGTAATAGGCTTGACGAGTTCCATAATAATTATATTTGATAAAGTATATTACGTGCCATATAGAATCTCAACGATGTCTGAAACACAACTTTCCGACCAATATCTTTACCAGAGCTCGCTCAAGAGTGATCCGGATATTAAAGTCTCCTCTGGCAAGCGCGTGCCTTTCGTTATCGATCTTAATCAGGGGTCATACCAAAACGGTGTTATTACTATCGATGCAACATCCCAGCTTAATGGAAGTGAAGGATTTGCTTCGCTCCGTGATGCCTACATTATGCTACCATACAAGGTATCGATGAAAAACACTCATGCTACTACTGTTCAGGCTAATCCTGCTAACCGTTTTTGCTGGTCGCTGAAGTGCGGAATATAGGAGTGTGATCGATTCGATGAGTCTTGAGCTGAATGGTAAGACTATCGTTTCTATGGCTGACTACAAGCTGTTTTGGAGCAATATTCGTGCTCAGACTGGATATAGTCCTCCGTATGTTGAAAAGCATGGTGCAGAGTCTTTCCTCTTCCCTGATGCTGCTCAGTCGTCGAGGTACAGTGCTACGGGCTCTTTTACTGGAGACGGGTATTCGAATAACACAGCGTTCTCCTCCTCCTTCACCGCCGGCGCTATCTCTGCCACAGCTTCAGTAGCAAATGATGGTTTTGTTAAGCACCTTCTTTCGAACCCATTAAATGCTGGAGCTGACTCATCTACGTCGTGGCCTTCCACTGGTGCCGCATCTGCTACAACCACCATCGCTAATCAGCTGGGACGTGGCGCTTTCGTGGCGGGTGGCTATGCTGCTGGCGCTATCATGGGAACGTGGAACTTCATGCTAAAAATCAAGCTTGTTGATCTCCACCCGATTTTCAAGGAGCTTGATCTTATGGCTAACCCTCAAATCCGTCTTCGTTTCCGGGTTAATCAGGGTACTGTAGCTATTGATGCTGAAACTTCTCGTTATATGACGCTTACAAGTACTACACTATCGAGTGGTAATACATGCCCTGTAATGATTGCTTCGTCGGCAAGTAGTAATCCTATGGTTAGTGTTCTTTCAGGTTCAACAGCTGGTTCTACTGCTGTTTCATGGGGTGCTGTCGTCAATGCGCTTGAACCTACTATTGATGGAACTTACATGCCTTTCACGACTTCTCGACTGTATGTCCCGTTTGTTCATTTATAGAACCCTCAGGCTATCATCTCGAAGCCAGTAAAGAAGGTCCGCTACAACGACCGTTATGCACAGTGGTTTTACCAGCGCGCCGGTATTGGCAAGCAAGGGACACAGCTTAATGCTTCTTTCGATCTGCAACTTTCGGCTTCTGTAAAGAATGCGAAGTACGTCATTCTTTTACCATTTGCTGAGCAAACTGGAAACTTTACTACTGCTGCTGTTCAACAGTTTCAGAGTCCGTTTGATACGGCTCCTTGGACACTTCAGCCTGGCTCGAGCATTCGCAACTTCAATGTCCGTATCGGTTCGACTCAATGCTTCGACATTAGTCATGACTACGATTTCCACCAATTCACAAACGAGTTCGCTAAAATTGCTGCGATTAATGGTGATCTGACCCCTGAGCTTCTGAATGGACTGCTTGACTATCAGACGTGGTCTCTAACTAACCGCATCCTTATCGCTGACGTTAGCCGCCTGACGGAGCGTGATGTACCTCAGGCTATTCAGATCCAGGGTACAAACGCTGGTTGCCAGGGAACAAACATGCTTGTTTTGGTTGTGAGCGAACAAGAGCTCTCCTACGATCGTCTAACGGGAGAGGTTTTAGATTTTACCACGGCTTAGTTAGAATGTGTTTAGTAATTTCTGTCATAGGCAAAAAAACATTTTTTTGTCGCTTAATTAAGTTCGTTGAGCAGTTTAGGGCATTTCTCAATTACGAATGGGTTCTTACGAAGCCAATTGATATAATTAGAATCGGTGCGACTAATTTGCTTTAGCGTCTTTCCCTTGTACTTGCCCCAACTCATCATATACGAATTATCATTGCTAAGAAACTTGAAGTGAAGGAAAATCTTGATACCCTCAGTAATATTGAGACTGGGTTGGTTGTGCATCCATCGACAATATCTGGGATCATAAGCATATACTTCTTCGATCGGTGTGCCCTTGTATTTTCCAAAAGTTAGTTCGTTCGACATGTTATTAGTTATGTGTATCTATATACATAGGGTCTTATTTTTTTTTGAGAAAAAAAAATTAATTCTGAAATTCAGACAAACCTGTTCTCAGTGGTCGAGCGGTTCTGAAACTACCCTAAGATCGAAAAGACGTTGCTTTCGCTCTCAGGTGGTCGAGAGGTTGCGTCGCCAAAATACCAGCTGCCTCGAAAGAACGTTCCAGAACTGGTCTCGGTGGTAAATTACGGAAAGTAAAAAAACTGCCGGCGTAATGTTCCATGTCATACTACTAACGTTTCTATCAGCTTTTCGATTTGAGTTTTCAGCCACTTGATCCGCTTGGTAACGGTAGACGACAGGAATTTTAACCTCTTCAGCCTCCAAGTCTAGATCTCTGCAATAGTCCGACAAATACCGGATAGATGACCCAAACACACCCAGATCTGCGCTTTCAGAGATGGGATCGAGCTGAGAGGGTTTCTTACAACGAATCACTCACCTCCATAATAAACCAACGGACTTCATCAAGAATAGTTCCCTTTCATTTACTTTCATAGCTTTCCCATAACCATATTTAGGAGTGCAGCTTGAGTATTCTCATCGCTTAAGCCATCGGTGTCATTTCCACGGCCGAACGGCCAGTTCCTCCTTGACTTTTATTTGGATCATATTTCGATCATCACATAAATGGCCAGCTGATCAAATCCCTTGACCCTGTCGAAAGTTGATCAAATCCCTTGACCCTGACGAAAGTTGATCAAATCTGAAGTGACTTGAAATTGTTTGGTATACAAGACCTTCTACATGCATTTCTATATATACATCAAATTGTATATCTTTACTACTCTACGTAATCTACGCGTTCGTCGTTAAGGTGTCTGCACTTCCTCCAAGTTCCACAGGGACAGGGAGATCGAGTGGCTCAGGAGCTAGGCGTTGCCGTTTCTTCGCTCGGGACTTTGACATATCCTCAATTCGGCTGACATAGCGTTTCGATAGAGCTTGGATTATGCCGACAAATGATGGTAGAGAAGGGTGTGGAGCTGTTAGCTCCGCGTTTATCTCGCGGTTAAAACGCTCTAAAATATTATAAGTACGACTTGCCATAGCAGCACCCACCTCATGAACATTTCAAACACTAGGTGTGAATGTCTTCAGCCACGTTGTACGAAAATACGACCAAAACCGCTTCCTCAACACGTCCGAATACCGAATGCTCTTGGCTACACACGTGTCTCTTATCTTGCCTTTCACAAATTTGATACCTTCGTCTTTGATCTTCTCGTGCGGAATGACAGTCAGCATATCCAGACTGCCCTTACTCATTGCAATGACGACCTCACTTTCAGGGAGGCTTAGTGCCTCCATCTTCCTTCGGCAGGCCAGCTTAAAGTGAAAGTAGCAGCCGACGATATCTGCATCTGAAAATTGAACTTGTGCTGCCTTTTACAATCCGGCCTCAAAGTCGCAGACCACCATGCTCGGCTCGATTTTGTCGTCTGCAGCGACATTGACAGCCTCCATCAAATGCCAGTACGTATCTTGGGTCTTTGACGTGCACAATGTATAAAATACAGGGACGAATAGGTCCGTTGCATGATCAAAAACCATCATTACCGCGCACTGGTAGAATGGGCGCGGGACGCACCTGAATGTCCGGTCGAGAGACAACGTAGTCTGTTTGTACTTCAGTAGCTTGATCAGATCAGGATGAGCCCAACCGACTAAGCGCTCTAGTGTTGTTCCATTCATATAGGACCTGTAAAATTGAAAGAATGGCTGTGGGGTCCCCGATACCAGTGACAGCGGCGAAACCTCCACAATACCATGCAAATCTGCACCAAAGTGAGCACGTCTCGCTCGGTGAACTCGCTGGAGGACTTACTCACGTGTAAGTCCGAATTGCACCAGTGATACTTCCTCAGGGTAGAAGTCGCTGCGAATCTGCTTCCAGATTCGTTCCGCCGTCAGGTCCATTCGAGTGATAGCCATCACATCAGTGGCCTCCTCCATGGATTCGGTAACATCTACTCCAGGTAATTCCACTCTACGCCGGTCGCAAGAATGTTCACCACGAATTTGGTACTCATTTGTCTTGATATCGTAATGTAACTTTGCCTTACATTTTGTACTCCGGCAGGAGCTTCACCTGTACGAAATATTAACCTCCAATTTATGGTAACCTGTAAATACGTGACCAGCTGCATGGACAACAGTGCGACGATGATGCTGAACACTGTTCGCTGGAACATGCAGTGTAATACCTTCAGCGGCTTCTCCGTCTGCAGGATGCCCAGTAGAAGGTGAATTTGATATGACACACTGGTGATCGCCTTCTCTACTCAAAAAAGATGGAGGTGATCCCCTTAAGCCGCCAGGAAAACGCTCGCTGCAGGCATCGCTAGAGCCTCGTTATGGAGTTGAGCTTCTTCCCCGAGCTGCACGTTGTCGAGGACTGCAATCGCGCCGAGTGTAAGAACTACAGCGACGACTTGGGCTTCGCGTCGACTCGACCAGCTCACGTAACTTGAGCTTCTCCGACGACTCCGTCTCTGATCATGTCCAACGGTACGATGAGGACTTCAGCTGTAGCGGCAATGCAAAGAGCGCCAAGACGAACTTGTGCCGCGCCAGCGACTTTCACGGGGTTGTACAGAAGCGATCTGGTGCCTTGGGCTATATCCTCGGAGAGACGTGCGCCGACGACTTGTACTGCGGCTTGGACTGCGACCGCGACCATAACTCCGCCGGCGACGTGGGCTGCGACCGCGACCACGACTATGACTGCGCCGACGACTTGGACTGTACTCGCGACCGGACGAGTGACGATGACGTGAGCTGCGGCCACGACCAGCAGAGTCTTGATGGCGTGGACCGTTGCAGTGGTCGTCGACACACCAACAGCTTGGACTGCGGCAGGAACGAGACTTACTTCAGCGACGTAACATACGTCACGAAGCTGAGACGCTCTGAGAGATTGGGTTTCGCATGCGCTCGGGGCTGTGCCGAGATCTCGCAGTGCTCTGGTGCCTTGGACTGCACGGAGGCGAGCAGATAGTGGCCTCGTGAAGTGGTGAAGAAGGTGCTGAAGACGCTACAACTTGCTGGTTCATGGTCGTACAGGAAGGGCGCTACTTATCTTCGTTGTCGGGAAAGTGTAAATGACGGAGGTGGTCGACCACACATATCCATACTTAAGATGGATATTTGATCAAACACTTTGACCAGGTACGAAATAGAAGGTTGACCATTTTTGTGATGATTGAAATATGGTCCAAATAAAATACTTCGCACGCAACAATCGCAACTCTGGAATAAATAATGACGTTGACGGAGCATTCATTCCCAATACATCCACCATCTTTGGTTTGGGTCCAGTGTGGCATCCAGGTCTCATACAGAGTCTCCTGAGTAGGATTAAGAAAGTAGAACTTTGCTGTCGATCTCTTTTTTGTCCTAGGTCATCTCCAGTTACAGAATTTCAATTAATCCTTTCAACATGCTCATCAATCTCCTCATCCTCGTCATACGTCTTGTAGCTGTAGCCGTGGAGCAACCGGTCCATAAAAAAGCGCAATTTCTTGTCGGTCGCAGCGAAAGTATTCGCCCCCAGGGGAGCACGAAATCTCGCACGGTTAGCACCTTTAAGACACTTCGAACCAAAGAGTTCTTTACTATTTTCAGTGTACTCATGCTCCAAAAGAAGAGCAATGGAATCATTTTTTTTCCATCTTGCTAATGGCTTTGGCAAGGTCTTCATTCAACGATTCATCCGGGTTTAGCTTCAATGGGAACATCATTGAAAGTAGACAAATTAAATACTGTTGTACACCTGTACAAGGCGAAACCCCTTTGTCACGTTTTCCCAACGCATGCTCAGCGTCAACAGAGTGAACATCATAATAAGCGAATAACGCCGAGCTACCATTGGCTTTACCAAAGTCATGTCGATACTTCGCCTCGTCGTCTCGGTATTCTGGTGCTTGAGAAAATGTTCGCCTTCTCCATATACCAGTAATTTATAGAATTACATTTTCTCTATTAATACGTGCTGCCACGGCCAACATTCGTCCAGATGTACCTATGTATACCTTTCCATTATCCAGACGGTATACGTTTGAATTAAACTCGAAAAAACAAGGCGGCTGTTCCAGGCCAGGAGGAGTCATACATGTAAATAATCAAGAATAATCCTGGCGACACAATCTAACTTAAATAAGTATCCATATATGAAGAAGATTTGCTGAGGACGTGGGAAGATATGAACGTGGGGCTGTCGTATAACCAGGATTTAATCCTATTGTATCCAGGACTAAGTCCTTGTCACAGATTCGTACAGTAATGAATAGACCATTTAGCATGATTAATCAGGTATTTAGCCATGATTTAATCCTGGCAGCTGACTTGAAATCTGGATTCCTGTCTGCAAATGCAATCACTTTACGCTCACTACGACGAAGCCCTATCAATGCTGCCTCTACGAAAAGCTCCATGTCAAATTTACAGAGTTGCAAGGTAAAACTAACTTGTATTCAATGAAGTTAAAGACATGCATTCAATGTAGTTAATGCACGCGAGACTTACAACCAGCACAATTAGCTTGTCGATGTCGCGATAATGGTTGAAGCGATTTCTTCGTCGTTGTCTATATTGTCTTCATCGCTC